AAAAAAAAAAAAGAATCATTGAAAGGCAGGCATGGTATCATGGCTGCAACCCCACAACTCTGGAAGGTTGAGGCAAGAAAACCACCAGTTTGAGCTTAGCCTGGATAACTTAGTGAGACTTTGAAAATTAAAAAAGAACTAGGGATATAGGTCAGTGCTTTGAATTCAAGTTCCAATACTACATAAGCAAAAGAAAACAGTCCTTAAAATGAAATTATCTAAAAATACATCTACTGGGGCCAGGGAGATAGCTCAGTAGCGTAAGTGCTTGCCTGGCAAGCACAAGGGCCTGAGTTCAATCCCAGGTTCTGGGGGGGAAAAAAAGGAAAAGAAAGAAAGAGAGAAATTTACTAGTTTTCACTACTATATAAAAGTTGAATAAAAATAAAATTAGAGAGCTAGGGAGATAGCTCAGTAGAATAAGCACTTGCCTGGCAGGCGCAAGGTCCTGAGTTCAATCCCCAGTACCGCAAAAAAAAAAAAAAAAAGTGCCACATACCTTCGAGACATGCTCATAAAAAAAAAAAAAAAAAAAAAAGACTATCCAAAAAAATAAAGCAGAGAAAAATAGAAAATCAGAATGACTTTCTCTGGATTCAGGTAAGATCACTGCTTTGAATTCTGTAAAGTATCAACTTAAATTATGACAGTTATTAAGAGTTCTAGTATTGGAGCCGGGAAGATGGCTCAGTGGAATAAGCGCTTCCCTGGCAAGCACACATGCCTGAGTTCAATCCCTGGTTCTGCCAAAAAAAAAAAAAAAAAAGAGTTCTAGTATTAAAGAAATTGCCTAATGAATATTTTAGATTGAACAAAGAAGAGGGCTTCAAAATTCATTTAACTGGGTACTTACTGTCAACAGGAATTTAAAACAAAATCACTGATAACTAAAGACTCATATAATGATGCACACCTGCAATCCCAGTACTTTGGGAGGTTGAGGTGGGATTTTTGCAAATTTGACCTCATCTTGGGCAACTTAGTGACTTAGAAATACCTCTTCTCAAAAACTGTGAGAGTTGGGTGTGTACTCAGGAGGCTGAGGCAGGAGGGTCCTTGTGAGTTCGAAACTAGCATGGGCAACAAAGTGAACTCAAAGCCAGCCCGAAGTGTATAGTGAGACATAAGACCAAACAAAACAAAACAAAACAAAACAAAACCAAAAAACCTATGTGTGTCTGTCACTATCTAACTGTAATAATCATAGAAAAAAACCTAACATTTATTACAAGTAAAACTAATTCTATTGCAAAGACAAAATAAAATGTAAAAGTAGAACTATGAAAACATCTGAAGATACTAAACATTTAAAAATTTAATAATGAGGGCCTGGGGAGATGGCTCAGTAGGATAAGCGCTTGACTGGCAAACGCAAGGATCTGAGTTCAATCCCCGGTTCCGCCAAAAAAAAAAAAAAATAGTAATAATAATGGTCCTAGAGCAGGCAAATATATTCTAAGCAAGATAGAAAAGATTGTAAATTCGACTTTAAAAAATTCTACTAAAAAAAAAAAAATTCTACTGCAAGTGCATTAAAAAAAGCTAAAAGATATATATATATTTTTAAATACAATGCAGTACCCTAAACTTGAGACATTTCTAGGTAAACAGATGAAGCTTTAGACTATAAATCAGATACACATGTTCAAACATTGCATGGTTTCTCTGGTGTGAAACCAAAAGTGTAGATAAGAACTAAAATATGTAACAGATACTGTGAAATAGGAAGAAAATGTTAAAGTGGGAAGGGGAAATGGGGGAAGGGCACAGAAGGCAGGGAAAAGGAAAAAAATGGAAACAAAACTTTTGTAAATAAGGAGGGGAAGAGAGGTAAAGAAGATACATTATGTACAGGTACAAATTCCATATGATGAATATTATTACTATGTATATCTAAACTGTACCAAAAAAATTAATCTTAAAAATTCAGGTTCTGGGCCAGGGAAATGACTCAGTGGAATAAGCACTTCCCTGGCAAGCGCAAGGGCCTGAGCTCAATCCCCGGTTCTGGAAAAAAAAAAAATTCAGGTTCTGGAGGTGTAGCTCAGGGGTGGAGTCCTTGACTGGAATGAATGAGGTTCTGGGCTGGATTCCCAACAGTGCCAAAAAATAAGGTTTGGAAAAAATACTGTTAACATAAAGTAAATGAAACAACAATTGGAAATTTTGGAGATTTATTATAGATTAATATGTAGTTTATAGTACATATAGCAAGAGAAAAAACAAGAGAGGGGAGCATGGAAGAGAAGAGGAAAGAGAATGCAAAGGGGAGAGGAAGAAAGGTCTTACAAGCTAATATGACAAGGCACAGTTCAGGAGAAAAATGGCAAAAGATAAGAATAGGCAGGG